TGATAATAATAATAATAATAATAATAATAATAATAATAATAATAATAATAATAATAATAATAATAATAATTCAATAATATGATAAAGAACATTTTTAATTCCATAGCGGCCACTCCTTGCTGGTTCTATGCCTTTAACAAAAAGATGTAATTTAAAACAACGATTCGTGCATACTGTCCCACCTAATGTAAAACATGTTGTTGTTTTTTTCAAATACGTACACTTGTCATCTCGCAAAGTACACACAATACACAAAAAGACCATCACTGAGGCTATTAATCATATTTGCAGTTCGAAAAAAACTCAAACTAGTTAGTAGAAAAGGATTTCAAATGAGGGTTTTTAGACCCAAAATAAATTGATTGATGGGATGCATTTGAAGACTAAAAGCTGAAATGTGGTTTCCAAAAACCATAGTTCTTTTGTTTTTCAAAACCGAATTGTACAGTACAATGATAGTATAAAAAGATTAAACCTATCTAAAACGGCTACTAAATGAACATTTCAACTGTAGAACACAGTAACTCCCAAGAATTCTACACACATTAGCTAAGTTGGTAACATGCTGGGCTATGGTGCAGCAGGCCGTGGTTCAAATCCCAGACTAGGCGTTCATGAACTGGGGTCAGATTGTGGAGATTTCAAGGCTCTCAAACCCATTACACTCGGTTCTCTCGGAGAGGGATGGATATCTGTCTTTTAAATAACTGTATAGTGTTGAAAGAGGCGTTAAATACATTTACTTACTTTTTTAATATGTATATCATTATGAAAGAAACAATAGTTTTTGGTTCTAAATTTTAATTAAATGGGAAAACAATATTATCATGACATCACCAGATTATGCCCTGTTGTATTCGTTTAATTCTATTTTGAAGCAGCGAGATGAATACATTTCTAAGTGGTTTTATGCCCTATGCGACTAAGTTCAGATCATTTAGGGTGCGGGTTACCGAGCCTGTGTCGTGACAACAATAATAATAAAATTATTATTATTATTATTATTATTATTATTATTTTATTATTATTATTATTATTATTATTATTATTATTATTATTATTATTCAATAATTATGTCAGGGCCAACCGGGGCTGAGAGGGATACAACACACCAGCAGGAAGACCGAAGTACTCGATCAAAATTCTCCCCACAAGGGAGTCGAACTTTGTGTCTCCTGCCTAAGACAGCTAGGCACGTGGGTGGTTGGTGGGTACTCTGATGTGGTCTACTCCTTCTTTTCTATTATCCTTATCTCTCTTCCTTCTCTTTTTTTTGTGTTTGTTACACTCTTGTAACACCTCTAATCTTCGGTACTTATATGACCTTATTGTGTTGCAAGTGCCGTAAAACTCTTACTAAAACAAATAACAGTTAGGCACCTAACTGCTACACCAGAGACGCGGGTACGCAGGGAAATGACGTAAGAGACTGACCTGTACAGTGTGCGTGCTGAGGTAGACACAGTCAAAGCCTGGGAATTGTGGGAGGTCAGTATCCTGGAACTGGGACTGACCGGAGGGGACGTCACTGAAGGTCTGGTTGTCGGAGGTGTACTCCAATACCACTGTGAACGGTCGCCTTGCCCGAGACAGAAATAATGATAATAATAGTAATAATATTATGATATTGAAAAGCAGCGTCGATAAAAGTTAATTAAGACTCCTGTCGAAACATTCTACATTATTTAAGGGGTGACACAACAACAACATCTACTACAACATCAACAATAACAGCAGTAGTAGCAGCAACAGCAACAACAACAACAACAACAACATCAACAACAACAACAACAACAACAACAACATAAACAACAGCAACAATAACAACCACAACAACATTTATTAAGAAATATTAAGACATCAACCAATTTTGTTTTAAGACAACTACATTTGTATTTCAAAATAAATAAGAAGCGAAGTGCTGTGCCAACTGACTGTGACCTTTGACCCTCGTACCTGAACTCGATAGAGCGACACTCCAGGGTGGCTGGCTGGCCGGCTATGAAGGTGTTGGGAGCGGTCAGCTGTGTCTGCTGCAGACGATCGGACACTGGGAATGGCGGGAGTAGAGGAATAGTCAGCAACTAGGTGGACGGGTGGTGAGGATAATGTGCCTGTCTTACTTGAAAGTCTTCGTAATCTTTAGTTTTGTTTGTGCTATGCAATTTGGTATAGTTTTGCGATTGCAGTTGTTTTTGTCGTTGCCATCGTTGTCGTCGTCGCTGTCGTTGCTGTTGTTGATGTCGTTGATGCTGTTGTTTTTGTTGTAGTCGTTGCTGTTTTGTTGTTGTTGTTTTGGTGTCATCATGATGATGATGATGATGCCTCACTATCTATCTACCTATCTGTCTATCTATCTATCTATCTATCTATCTATCTATCTATCTATCTATCTATCTATCTATCTATCTATCTATATATCTATTTTTATATATATATATATATTTTTATATATATATATATATATATATATAT